GGTACCGGCGCGGCCAAGCGCAGGACAGGACGGGGGTCGCTCCGCTGAACGGGCCCGCCCTGCTATCCTGAGGGAAGCACTAGGCCCCACCTCCCGCGCTCGCGCAGCCAATGGGAACGGCTGCTGGGGCGGGAGCGGACGCGCGGCCAATGGCGGGATGGCGGCAGGCGGGGCCGGGGCCGAACCGAGCCTAGCCGAAGTCCGCCGAGCCTGGACGGATCTCTACCGAGATTGGCCGAGTCATGCCCCAACCCAACCCAACCCAGCCGGATTTGGCCGAGCTTGAACCGAGCTCTACCGAACCGAGCCGAGCGGAGCCCCCTCACAGGATGAGGCCAAATCTGTTGAAGGATTTAAAGTTTTAAGGAGTTCAGTGTATTTTATTTCATGAGTCCGTGAACGTTTGGGAATCAAAATCAGCAGGAGAAGACAAGAAATACTCGTTACTTGGAAAAAGAGGTGACAAACACGTGATGAGGTGCGTTTGTTCCCGTGGAACAGAAACACTGATAAACAAACCCTGGGGATCATAATTTATTTTCCCTGGATCCGCTGCCACGAGGCTGTTCCGAACAGTTCTGTACCGCCTTTGGGCACCACTGGGCGTCTCTCCAGCATCTGTTTTGGGGCTGAATCAGTAAATTCTTCAGGCCCTATGGCTGCAGCATTTAGTACTGAAGTTTATGCTCACTACGTGCTCAAAAGTGACAAGATGCCAAAAAAATAGTCCTGACACTTCTGAAAATCTATTGATTTAGTACCTACAGTATTCAACTATATAAGTATGCTTATTTATTTCATACATATAATAAATAGGTGAAAACTGAAATATATTAATATACAAATTGTACAATATATTGATATAAATAAATAGCTATATATTTACACATAAATATACATATATATAATTATATGTTACTATATAACTTTAAAGAGACAAGTGATCCCTCAGCACATTCTGCTTTCAAATTATATAGCTTAACATGAAACAATAAAAACAAAAATACCCTTTTTTCAAGCAAAATAATAGCTTGGAGTTTGGGGGGTTATAAGCTGTTTAGAATTACATATTTATTTACTTGCCATAAATTATCATTGATTTATGGAAGAGCTAAGCAGCCTTCTGGAAAATAAACAAGAAATATTGGAAAGAATCAGAATTCTGGAACAATCTGGGTTGGAAAGGACCTTAAAGGTCATCAGTGGAGTGATTATGGCTGGGCATCCCAGGGGACACAGACCTGGTTGTAACATAAGTGGCAAAACTTGGTTCAGTGCTTAAAAAAGGGCAAATCTTTAAATTAAGGATCTGGGAATTCTGTCTGCACATAAGGTTTTGCACATGAGATTCTGAAGTTTGTTTCCTTGGTCAGATTATCTCAGTGACACCAAACGTTATTGGTGATCAGTCAGTGCACCCAGACATCTCACAGATAGTTATGCCTGAAAACTGTGTAAAACTGTAGGGATTTGGAAAAAAATCTGGGTTTCTTTTCCTTCTCTTGAAATAGTACTGTGGACATCCTGAAGTAATCTGCTGGAGCAAGAAAATGTAGGCAAATATTTTAAGCTCTAAGGTATCCCAGCATTACTTCTGTGGGGTATAGAATGGATTGAATCATGACATGAATGTTTAATCTGTCCTCAGTTTCAGTTGCAGCAGCATCAGGGCCAAATTTTTAGATCAGTCCTTGGCAAGTGATAATTTTTTTAGTGAATGGATGCTGTCAGTTAACAGCACATTGCAGTCTGGGAATCTTCAGAGATTCAGGTCGATTAAATGTCCAGTAAAGAAGCAATAATTAAAACTATCAACAGAGGAGACCATTAATAGCAAAAAACTCTGGTTTATGTCCTTTTTAACAGTAAAACTGGTTTTGCATTCAATAAAAATCTTGTGAAGAGCTGCAAGACAGAAACTATGACTGAGTAATAGGGAACATGGAGCAGAGTCCCTGAAAGGTAGTTTTAAAAATAATTAAAGTCCCCAGTGACCTGTGCTGGCCTGTCTGGTTTTCATGCATTTTTATGTGCACAGCTTTGAGAATGAAAGAAAACTGACACATGAATGAAGTTTGCAGAGGTTAATGGAGGAAAACACTTATTTTTTGCCATAAAAATGTTTCCTCCCTGTGATCCCTCCTCTCTGGCTGCTGCCATTCTCTTCCCATAGCTGCTTCCTTGTGTGCTTTGGCTGAGTGTGGTTTGTCCTCATTCCTGAGGAAGCCCTGCTGTCTGACACACCTGTTAACCACACAAACAGGTGCCTGGCCTTCTGGGCTTCCTCACCTGCAGGAATCCATCTCAGGTACCTGTTCAGAACACTCATCATGGCTTCAGTTCACTGCAAATTATTTAAATTTCTGCAATTCAGTTATTTAGAATTAGGCTGTAAGTGGGTAATAGGACATTTGAAGATACAATAAATTTTCCTACATCTCGATTGTGGTTATGATTACAACATAAGGATATATGATGTAAAAATATAAATAAAACTATTTCTGATTTAAACACCATGAACCAATCTCCCCACTAGTAAGTGCTGAGCTCTATTTTAGTGGCTTTTGGAGGGGACCACTAAATTCTGGTTAGTAAGAGACTACCCTGAGTAAGGCTACATGTGAATTTCTATAGTTAATTTACTACTGTTCATTTGTTTTTTTCAGAACTAGCTGTTTCAAAGTTGTTCCCCATGATGAATAAATTTGTATCATCTCAGGTTTTTCAAACACAAAATGAGTCATGCCAACCTGTTTTTGTAGGCTGCTGCAGAAATGAATTAATATGATAATGTGACCCTGTGAAATTACTGCTGTTCATATACTAAGTGTTCTTATTTATTACCCGTAACATTTAATTGTAGTTTAAATAAATTCCATATAAACGCATTTACTGCAAAGTTTAGAAACAATCCACAATTATATGGTGCAGTTGCAGGAATAAATTCCCTATCAGTGATTCTTAGGAGAGGAGGATTTGTAGGGTTTATACCAAGCTGATGATAAACAGCTTTGCCTTTATCAGTACCTGTTTGTCATGAACTCTTCACAGAATCCCAGACTGGTTTGGGTCGGGAGGGACCTTAAACTCCATTCAGTTCCACTCCTGCCACAGGCAGGGATACCTTCTACTATCCCAGGGTGCTCCAAGCCCTGACCAACCTGGCCTTGGACACTTCCAGGGATCCCTGGGCATCCATTTCTGGTTTGGTCTCTATCAACAGCTTGCAGTGGCTTTGTGTCTGTGGCATCTTGTGTCTCTGAATCACAGAAAATACAGGACCTTGGTAAAACATGAGGGGTTTTATGTGTTTAAAGCAGAATTTCCAATTCTGGCTTAAAATCCAAACCAAACACAGACAAACCTCCCGCAGTATAACTCATCCCATCACTGGGAGCTTGGAGCTTTTTCTTTTTCTCACTCCCTGCTCCCTTTGGGCACCAGTGGCTCTTTTTCTGGAGGCCCCAGTGTCACTACGGGTGTTCACGCCTTTGTTTCTCTGCAGAAATGTGTGATGTAGAGATAGTGCTTATGTGGACGTCAGCATTTCCAAACCTTGCATGTGTTGCATTGCTAAGCAACTTTAGGCAACACTTATCTCTCATCCTGATGCCATCTGGAAAAGAGGATTGACAAGGAAATGTGCCAGGGAGAGACAAAGGCACATCTAAGAAAGAGGTGGCTTAATTGCTTAAGAGAATGAGTGACATTAATAGTAGGCAATCAGCATGAGTGATTGAAAGCAGGCACAATGCTTCACAGGTAGTGATAAGGAAGCTCTGGGAAAGGTGGCATGTATTATACCCCCTGGCCTCTTCCCTCCCTGCAGGAAGCAAAACTTGGCTGCATCCCACTGCATGATGGAAAATGAAGGCCCCAGAGATTTCAGTTTATAAATTAAATACAGTTCCAGTGACAATGAGTCTCTTCTAGATCTTTCAGTGGTTCTGTCCATCCAGGAGTATGGCTGGTTGGCTGCTGTTAAGAGGTCTTTCCCTGTTGCTCTATTAGGAATGGTGAGAAGAACGACACAGACTCTCTTGGGAGTCAAACAGGAGAGTTTCTCCAAGGTTTATTACCTCAGATCTTTTTTATAGACCAATACATGAAAGTACAGAAAAGTAAAACTCTTATTGGTTAGTAAAATAACACATCACCATCATTGGTCAGTGGGGTACACCACCCCTCAACCTTCTCTTGCAAGAAAACAAGGAACAGACAAACAGCACCTGCTCTCCTTATGATTTCCCAGCCACTTTCTCAGGCAAGACTGAGAAAGTTATGTACAGGCACTGTGCTCCCTGCTTCATAGTTAGCATCCATACTTCCCCTACAGCAGGGGAGGCTGTGAACTGCCAGTGGAGCCTGGAACTTGAGTTGTTGCTTGTAGAGATTTTGTACACATGATTTTGTACATGAGTTACCATCAGTCCAGCTATCCTGGCATAACTGCTGAGGAAAACATCCTGTGCTTTGTGAGGATGGCAGGGACAGAGCAGAGCACGTAGTGTCAGGAGTGTGTTTCTAAAGAAGTTCCTTGTCCTTGTTGTCATCCTCAGCACATCTGTAACTGCCAAAGGTGTAAACCAAGCTACACCTTGGCTATTAAATCCATCTGGAGCTTCAGCTGGGTTCACACACATTTGAGAATTGCAGGAGCCCTTTTTTTTGTCCCTCTGCTGTTATCACATAAAAAGCCAAATATCCAACTCAATAAAAGAATGATCATTTCAGATTTTAAATATTCTTATTCTCCAGGACTTTATTGTGGTAGTTTTAAAGCACTAGCTAAAAAAATCAACAGAAAACGTACTTATTTCTTGCTGTGAAATAGGGATTAGGAGAAGGGCAAAACAGGCTTAAAACTTAAAAGGAATAAAGAAAGTTTATTAACTAAACTACAAGAATAATAAACCAGAACAAAATCTCCAGAAACCCTTCTTCCCCACCACCCAACCATTCCCTTGTCTGACAACATAGAGACAAAACCTGGTGGTTAAAACAGTAGTAACTGTTTATACAGTATATATATATATATATATATATATATATACACTATATATATATACAATAATATATATTATTGTATATAATCTTTTATGTTATAAAAGATAATATACAATAATCTTTTCATCAGCCTTTGTAAAGACAGGAGTATTCTTTTGTCATTCCATGGAGAGTTCTCCACAAGAAAACAGTTTTCTCATGGATTTTCATTCCCCTGATGCCAGCCACCTGAAAACTCTGCCATCAGGCCCTCCTCTCATTTCACACCACTCTGAGGTGTGTTCATGGGCCATGAACTCAAGGGGTGTCATTTTAAGGATAGTTATTCAAAGCCTCTGCTATCATCTCTGGGAACAGACGTTTTATCTTTTTTTTCTGGGGGCCAAGTGTCTCCATCAACTCTCACTTCTCTTTCTCTGTTCCAGCATCTCCCATCTCATGGGATCACAACTATTTCACCATCTGTTCAGC